TTGATTTAGACTTCACAAAGTTGCTTAAACATCGGACATCAAACAAACATTTTTAAATATTGGTATTAGTCCCTCAGATTAAGATTATTTACGTTTTATTTGACTTGACGATGTATTTCAAAGAATCCACAGAAAATAATATTTCGCTTTACACGTGTTGTTTTTGGATTAACATGTAGTCCTACTCAATGCAACAAGACGAGAACATTTAAAAAACTATGTTAAAGAATTTGAGAGTTTTGTTTTACAGTTTCTTTGTGACTTGTATGTTGACAATACTACAACTGGATTTGATAATGTTGCTGATGCCTTTGAATTTTTTAAAAGAGCTCATAAAATGATGAAGGATGGTGGATTCGAATTAAGAAAGTGGACATCTAACTCAGAAGAATTAATGAATCTTTTAAAGTCTTGTACTGATCAAACTAACAATATGCGAAATTGAAAGGTATCTAACTTTGTATCCCAACTTAGTCCTAACTAAGTTGGGATACAAAGTTAGATAATTTTAATTTTGTTTTAATGAATTAGTGGACGACGCACTGAAATTGCCACGAACTAAACGGTCATTATTAAGTATTAGCTCAAAAATATATGATCCTCATGGACTGTTGATTCCAATCACTATTCAATCTAAAATGATGTTTAAGAAAATTTGTACAGAAAAGATGGACTGGTATGAACTATTGCCTGATGATGTCTGGACTCAGTGGTATAGATGGTTATATGAACTTAAAGAAATTGGTAATTTAAATATCCCAAGATGTGTATTATTTGACATGACTAAACAAATAAAATCTGTTCAAGTTTATGGGTTTTTTGACAGCTCAACACAAACCTATACAGCATTATGTTATTTAAGAATTGAAGCTTATGATATGGTTGTTGTAAACTTACTTACAGCAAAAACGAAGGTTGCTCCACTTAAAAGACAAACTGTTCCAAAACTTGAACTCTTGGGTTGTTTAATGTTAAGTAAACTGATAAGTTCTGTAAAGAATGCAATTAATGGTGTTCTTCATATTGAAAAGGTTTACTATTGGAGTGATTCAAAAATGTTAACCCCGCTGATATTCCAGCGAGAAAAAATAGTTTGAAATCAATGCTTAGAAATAAAGATTATTGGAATGGACCTGAGTTCTTAAGAAAGGATCCCGGGTAATAGACTACAAAATGCAATTACGAGAATGAGTTAACAAACATTTCTATCAATTCAGAACTGAAGAAACAAAAGCTTAACTTAAATGAAATTGTTGATGTCAAAAACATGTTTCATCAATCTGAAGTTGATACTGTTTTTAGTATGCTGAAAGATACCACTCTGGTGAAGAGTGTATCAATTAAAACAATTGTGAACTTACATGAGATATTTACAATAGATGAATACAGCTCAATGAACAAGCTTTTATTAATAACATCATACGTGATACAAATTAAAAATAGTTTTTTATATCGAATCAAGAAAAGGAAACATACTTGTTTTTCCATATTTTCCAGAGTACCGTGCAAACAGTGATTTTGCTTTTGCCAATACAGGAGTTGACTTTGCTAGACCATTTTTCATTAAAGATATATATATTTAGAAACCAGCACATTACACAAAGCTTATTTTATTTTATTTACATGTGCAGCTACAAGGAATGTATACCTAGAATTGACCCCAAAAATGGATGTTCCTTCAGTTATTTGTGCTATCTAGATTTTTATGTACCAAATTTATTATTTTGAAATTTATTTTACCGCTTTTCCATTGGTGGGGAGGGTTTTATGAGAGATTAATACGTATAGTTAAAGGAGCGTTAAGAAAAACACTGGGGAAAGCCCGGCTGACATTTGATCAACTGAATGCAGATTTAGCAGAAGTTGAAAAGATTCTAAACAGCCGACCTTTGTGTAATGTGTCTGACGGATACGATGTGGAGCCATTGACTCCATCTCATTTAACTGTTGGCAGAAGGATTCTTAGTCAAGTAGGATCAGTTAATACAGAAGATCCAGACTCAGTTAAAATCAGTGCACTGGAGCTATTTGAACAATTAAAGACCTCAATTCAGCATTTTAAAACAAGATTTTACAAGGAATACTTAAATGAACTATGAGAACAGCACGTTTACAATCGTCGGAAATACGTTGTTACAAATAAAATTCAAGTAAATGATAAGGTTTTGATTAAAGACGATGATAAATTGCCTCGAAGCCGTTGGAAAAAGGGTGTTGTTATCAAAAAAAATAACAGGAAGCGATGGAAAGGTTCGAGGGGCTATGCTACGCGTATTTGGAAAAGATGGAAATGCTATAAATTTAAAACGTGATATAAAGCGATTGGTTTCCCTGGAAATTTAACCGAGAATTGTACCTCCAGCCGATTTACAGGAGAAACGGGTGCCCGCAAAAACGGCGGAATTGAAGATGAAATTACGCAATTGTTAGAGATGCCATCTCTAAAATGGGGAGTGTAGAAACTAGTTTAAAAGAACTGGGTTCTAGTAACCATTTTTAGACTTTACGCGCGAGCACGTTTTTTCTTGTCTTGTTAAGTTTCTAGAAAGCATAATGGCGCTCTAATTTTGTTTATTATTGAAATATATTATCCTCTCTTATCTGCCTTTTGATTTACTTATTAGAGTCCGTTGTGGATTTTAAAAGTACCTATGATATTGTGTAAATTTAACATCCCACCTCTCTTTCATAGTTCAGACTTTGTTGTCTCACCTAAAGTCAAAGTTGAATTATTACCTTTGAACTTTTTATCAACTTTTCTCTTTATTTCACTATCACATCCGTACCTGATAGGTCTTTGATAAAGTTTGAAATGCCATAAGCTCTCTTCTTGCAGTGTATATTCAATATTATTGAATCCTTCCTATTTGTGTTATAAAAGTTATCATGTTAATTCAGCTTCTCAAGGCAAAGAAGACTAGTGCAGGCAAGGAGGCTGCTTAATTGTAGCTATAACCCTCTCTCAACCCTATAACTCTGAAACACGAACCTTGAATGCTGTGCGGAGAAACAAGTTGAGAGTGGTACTACCAGGGATTGAACTTAGAACCTTTTGCTTACAAAGCGAGCGCTCTACCACTATACCACTACCACGTTACCACTACACCACTACCGTGTTAAATCTAGGATCAACTCTTGATTCCGATCTTGTTTAGAAACAATATATTATATCCATTGTAAAATTTGCATCTGTTAAGGTTGCATCTCTTTAATGTGCTTGTCTTTTTCTTACACCAGATTTAATTCATTATCTCTAAAAATTTCTATGGAATACTGTTGCTATATCTGGATTGGATCTTCAAATGATTTCTTTTCTTATTGAGAAGGTGCAAAAATGCTTTGTAAACATAGTTGGAGCTGATCTTGCAGCCAACCTTCAACTATTGTCACATTATCATTATGTTGCTTCTTTTTTTTTTTATCAATATTATATTGGTCTTTTGTGCCATCTACTTGAATTCATTCTCATACTACTTGACATTCAACTAAGTCTCATTCCTTTACTGTGACTGTTCTAAGTGCTCCAAAAATTCTTATTCGTCTAGTTTTCATCATCCAACATCAGTTATTTGTAGATTGCTCTCTTTATCTTAATTTCGTAATTCTTTTTGAATCCTTTAAGCCGTCTGTTAATCATTATTTTGCTGTATGAACTTTATCTTTTCTCTTCTAACTTTTAGTAACTTCTCACTCTTATAGTATTTGCAGCCTTTTTAGAAGTCGAGGTTTTCAACAAAAAAAAAAAAAAAAAAAAAAAATCAGTAAGTTTTTATAATGATCAAAATACTATTATAAACTATTAACTCAGGAAATTCATTTATTTGCTTTTTTTAGACTTGGACCTAAAAAAAAATTATTTATTTTTATATTTCTATTTAGTCAAGTTTAGGTTTAAAAAAAAAAAGTATTTTTATTCTGATTTACTCCCAACAAGGCTTCAAGCTGATAAGTTGCCACTATTATGTTGAAAAAAAAAAGAATAAAGAGCAAGAAAATCGTTTACTGGAGACTAATAAAAAAAAGAAAAACTAGAAATTAAAAAATTTAAGTTTTTAGTGCATGCAGGGACAGACACAGTAACGAATGAATAAACGAATTTAAATATTTTAACTATTAATATGTAATATAACTATTATATGTATGAAATATATCTATATATCATATAATTATTGCATTTTTGAAAAAAATATATTAATATATATATATATATATATATATATATATATATATATATATATATATATATATATATATATATATATATATATATATACACATCTATATATATATATATATATATATATATATATATATATATATATATATATATATATATATATATATATATATATATGTTTGTGCATATATATATATATATATATATATATATATATATATATATAGTATATATATATATATATATATACAGCTACTTGATTATTACACAGTATAAGCATTAAGTTGATAATTTATTACATTTTATTATAATTACTGTAGGAAGAAATTTATCCTAATATTATGTTTTATATTAAAAGTTTTATAATAAAATTGATTAATTTAAGCTAACTATTTTTGCAATTGGTGGCAAAAAAAAAAAAAAAAATTATTTTGCAAATATGCATGCTTTAAAAACTTTATAAAACTTTTGCTCCTTTTAATGTTATTCTGTTTTTTATTTGACTGAAATAATTTATGAATTCAAGTCGGCATTTCAAAAAAAAACTCATGCAATGTGTGTACGACAGTTTGCACCTGCTGAATTTCATACATTTTTAAAGTATTGTATATTATATTTAAATTGTATCATGTTAGATTTTGACAAATTTGTAGAGTAACATATTTTTATTTACGTTTTAAGAAAAAGTTTTTTTCAATAATATAGTGTAATATAGTACTAATAATGTTTATATTACTTTGAGTCCTTCCATTTTTTTTTTTTTTGCTATTTGCATTTTTTTAATTTTAGTTAAAATTTAATTCTAGATTTTATTTGATTTTAGTAAATTATGGAACCGATGACTTGACTTCAAAACTGTGTAGTTACATAAGTTACAAAATTGGAAAAGACTGGCAAAGATTTGGATGGCACTTAGACTTGAATGTTGCAGATCTTGACAATATTGACTATGATAATAAGGAAGTTTGCGAGAAAGCTACAAAAGTTTTAAAAAAGTGGAAGGAAAAAACTAAATACCCTTCATGGAAGCAATTAAGGAAAATGCTAAAATCATTTGAACGCTTAGATATAGTTAGGGATGTTGAAAGAGAATTTTCTGGTAAGGCTGAGATGTTTTTGTTATATTTTTGTTGTATATATATATATATATATATATATATATATATATATATATATATATATATATATATATATATATATATATATATATATATATATATATATATATGTATATAAATTTTGTATAATGTTTGCAATTTTTATAAAATTTCAAGCCTGATTTAATATTTTATAACTTTAGACCAACTATCCTGTCCTGAAGAAATAATGTAAGTTTTTTTTTTTGAAACATGTAAGTTTAGTAGCATACTTTAAATAATTTTAAAATGTTTCGACAAATTGTATATTTTTGATTTTAATTTATCTTTTTTAAAATGGTATATAAAAATTTTTTATTTTAGGAATTTTTAAAAATTTTATTTATATTATCATAGTCACAAGGAAAATCTTAAAGTGTACAATAGCTTTTTGTATTATTTCCTTATACCTGAAAAAACTAGAACCAAGATCCTTTGGAGTGCAAAACAGTAAAAAGATAATAAATAACTTGATCAGATAGCTGTAGTTTTGTGTCTCATCATCTCATGTTTAGTAAAAGTTTTTTTCTTTATTCAAGTTGTCAAACTTTTTATCTTTGGCTCATAATGTTAAGTTTCTTAGAGTTAAACAGTTATGAATTTGACCTACACGTTGATAAGAGTCTAGCTTACACTATTCGAGCTTATGCTTAAATTTTGCCAGACTCTTATTAAATTTATAAGAAACATTTTTGATATGTGAGATACACAGTTTCTTAATCATATCTATAGTTTCTTTTCCGCGCAATATAGTATCATCAAATGAAATAGAAATTTTTTTGCATGTAAGTCTGTTGTTTGCAAACGATTTTCAGTTAATTACATGGATGAAATATGTGATGATAATTTTAATCCTGCAAATAAAACTATATGTCTTTAACAGGTAATATTCTACAAATTGAATCAGCCATTTGTAAATTATTTGTAAATTTTTAAATTGAATTAGCCATTTGTAACTGGTTAGTTAACTTGTTAGTTATAAATAGTAGTAAAATCATCAATCCAAAAAAAAGTAAAGCACTCCATCAAACATTAAACCTGTTAAAATAAAAGCGTTGAATACACTGCACCTTTTAGATTTTTTCATTCTCTGAAATTAAATATCTAAAATTGAAAGTTGCTCAACTTAATAAAGCCATTGAAAAAAGTGCAGTATCAGTTTGAAAAAATATCCACTTTTTCATAAAATTATCAACAGTTTCTCTGAAAAGTAACTTTATTTAAAGAAATCTTTTCTTTTATGAAACTGTTCCTTACAGAACAGTAAAAGTATTTAACAGAACATTCACAGGACCGTGACATTTTGCCAATTATATTTATATTAATGTTATAGTTGGCAAATTTAAATATAAATATAGTTTGCTATATTTATAGTTGGCAAATTGCAAGTATTGAGGACCAGTTTTTTTTCTTTTTTTTTTTTTTTTTTTTTGTGTGTCCCTTAGTTGGCAAAAAAATATTTACATCCCCCCCTCCCCCATGGAAGATCTCTTCGGGACGGCCCTAAACATTCATCTCAAACACGATACCATCCAAAAGGTTGCAAAGTACTTTTTAGCATTGTATGCAAAATCTCCAGCTGCATATGATCTTCTAGGTTTAAAAAAAATGAAAATGATATAAATTTTTTGTCTACTCAGCGTACTTTGAGAGACAATAGAACCAAAATCAAAGGGGTTTTATTAATCAATATGTTCAGGAGCTTACTAAATTAGTGTCAAACTTTTTATCGCTTAAATGATATTTAATTGTAATGAAAAAAAGTTCAAAGTAATCTTGTGTGGGACAAGCATACAAATTTAATTGGTTTTGTTGTTCTTAGTGTGATGATGATCTTACCCAAGCAACTTTTGAAAAAATAGTTTCACATATCACATTTTACAAGTTTTGTTACTGATAGGAGGCCCTAACAGGAAGGCGTGCAATTGCATGCCATTATATGACCATGCAGTTTTAAAACGCATATATAATGTATATATATATATATAAAAATATAAATATATATATGTATATATATATATATATATATATATATATATAATTACTGATTTTTTTTGGCACATCATTGAAATGTACAAATTGTAAAAGCATGTTAACAACCATGGTCAAATCGTAAAAACAAAGTTGTTTTTAGTGTGTGCATTTAAGTGCTTTTATGTCCAATTTAAACGCACAACCTGTTCTGTTTTAATGGAAAAAAAATAAAAGGCTAATTCAAAATATGAATATTTTGTCGGATGAACAAAAAATATATTTTAGTTATATTATATATTGAGCTATAAATTTTAAATAAGTAAATCCGTCATTGGGTAAAAATTTTGGTGTTGGCTTGAATATATACTAAACTTCACTAACTTTTGCATACTTAATTAAAGATTCTGTTTAGTATAAATATTAATCAAATGTTTATTGAAAAAAACACAACATTTTTTAACCTTCATCATTTTAAATTGCTAAAATGATTTTAGAAAGACATAGATTAGATTTTTCTGTAGAAATTTTGGGATATTCAAGGAATGTACATGAAATAAAAATACACATATTGTCAAAAATAAGCTTTAAAAGTATATAGAAATTTAAACAAACTGCTTGTGAAATTGAATTGATTAAATATGTGAAATACTCTTCTCTTCAGATTGTTGCCATTTTTAAAAGCCAACAATCTTATCCGCAACAACAAAAAGATCTTTTA